TAGAGCCCTGCGGTTTTCACGTTCTTCCTACTTTTTTGTGAAACTCAAGATGGTCTGATCTTTTTGGATCCCTTCCATATCTACCGAGTAAAAAATGTTGTTGCGGTAAGAACTACGTTTAATAGAGAATTTTGTAAAGAATCCAGTGGGGTACTACATTTTTTTGTGGTAGAGATAAGACACAAACTTATAGGTATTTTCAGTGAAACACCCTGTATTTTATTATCGTTGAATTCGTAATTTTTTTTTCCTTCAAAAAGCTACATGATACTTTATACATAGGATTTCCAGAAATATTGAATAAACCCAAAAATAATGAATTATGATGAACTTCTGCTAGTGGGCCGTGGATTCTTCAAATAAAAGGAGTATCAGTTAGATGATTCTAATTTGTGATATTTTTTATAGGATGTTCGAAAAAAGGTTACTAACACTAATTCATTTACGTGGATCATGAGACGTAGATACCTTAAAACAACACTTAAATAATAATACATAGTTCATGATACATATTGTAAGAAATAAAAGAATTACCTAATCGGTATGAATTATAATGAATCACATACAATATTCCTTCAAATTATAAACTTGGAAACTCCATGCCGATGGCCCACTAGCAAAAATACATCTTGATTCAATGTTTGTTCTGTATAAAGTATAATACATTATAATAAAGAGAAACAAATAACGAATTCAACGAGATAATAAAATACTGGGTGTTCCATCAAGAAAATATAAGTTCAGGTCGTATCTCCAAAACCACACCACGAGCAAAAATGTCGAGTTCGCCTCTGAATTCTGCTCAAAATGTCTTGTTAGACCTAGTTCTTAGCGCAGCATTATTCCTAATAACTTCGTAGATATAGAATTGGCCAAAAAGTCAGAATTTTCAAAATCGCCCTGTATCTCATAAACGGAAGCAGTTATGCAAAATCTGATAAGTGCATCTTCAGTTTCGCAAAACACACGGCAGTGTCAATCAATATGGGATACACTGTATCTACAGGAAAGACTGTATCAGGATAGACAAATTGAAGTTTGAAGGTTTACCTATTTCTTGAGTTGAATATTAGTACTCCCACTAGTCCCATTCACTGTCAGATCAGGTTGGTTTCTTTCATTCAATCTGTAGTAAATAATTCATTACTTAAATTTTGAATGAATGAATCACTTCAACCGCTGAAGATGTAAAATAATCATAACTAGAACAACTCAACCTATTTTATCTCGTCATCTTGAATCAACTGCTGTATTCCATTAGGAATGTCGATGCAACACTAGTTGTTCAAAACTGTTGCGGGTAAAACTGCACTTATCATGCGATGGCTTTTTTTTCGAAAATGTTTTCTGGTACTCTTTCTACGTATTTTCGTCTGAAAAAACACGAATTTCAAAGTGGAACTGCGAACAAACCGCTATTTATCGAGATATTTTATGAAAAAGTGCGAAATTTCACCTTCTTTCGTAACCCATCTAGGATATTCATTTACAACTACTTGTCCTTCTTTTTACATCATTGGACACTGGTGCTAAAAGTGATTTATTTTATTGACTATTCCACTCTTGATCTCGAGAACCAATCAGAATCGACCATTTTCACGGTTTCTTCTGTAGTCTAGCGATATTTTTTGTTTATTAAATTTTATCGGACTTGCTCTACCAATACAGAAGCCGAATTGACCCACACGTGACCAACAAACCTCGTTTATCAGCGATAAAATTTTGACATCGTGTCTGGTCAAGATTGCTTTGTATTCAAATCTGACACAAGAGACAATAACCTAAGTACCTACTTCATTTTATTCACTTATAATTCGCGTTAGTGAGACATTTTGTACGAAAGGCGAGACAATTTCATTCTGGCTGGACGTTTCATGTGTAATTTAATAAGTTTGCATATTTGTTGACGGTCTGACAACAATACTAGAATTCAAATTCCCATTTGAAGTAATCTTCTTCAGTCACTCAAGTTATTGTGCCCAATTAAATCCAGGTGATGTGGCTCAACTGATAGGGTTGTTGCGCGGTGATACGAAGGTCGGTGGTTCAAGCCCGTCGGCGACAATAATTTTTTTTTAATTATTTCATGTCACATAAATTCAATTTATTTTGTTCGAATCGGATAGCAAATGTATAATAATATATAATGTATACACTCTTTTGAGAGCAACCATCTCCAAGATAATAAACAAAATACTGTTCATCAAAATTGTACATTCCACTTTGTGAATTACTATAAGTAGGAAGTTAATTTCTGAAAAATTGAATTCTGTATTTCATTACTATCATTATGTTCTTCTTCGCAGTTTGAGTTGGAATGTACTTGAGTTATGTTTCCTATTTCTTATATATATTATTGTCTCATTCAATCATGAAATAGTCATACGAATACAACTCGTGATACTATTTTTCCTGGAAATATTCGTCGATTGACATACTCCAGCTTGCTGCTCTAATTTCGCTCATGACATTGAACCAAAACTACTCGCCTACGGCTCGTAGTTTTGATAACAATGTCATTCACAAAATTTCTAGGCAACAAGCTGTCGTAACAATCACCGAATATTTCCGGCAAAATATTATCACTTGTGGTTTATATATGAGAAAATATGTAAAAATAATTCAAAATGAAGTATTTATTTAATTAAAAGTACAATTAGCAAAACTACAATTATAATACGAAACTCCATGGCCAGTCTCATTGGTAGATGTGACAGAATTTTTTTTCGTGAAGCTTGTACCAGGGCAGAGCAGTATTATCTGCCGAAGTTTTCGACAAAATTTGATCTGCAATGTTCTGTTTCCTTTGTAGCGAGTCTTCTATATAACCCTCTGCTACTGTACTGGACTTCCATCCACCATGTCTTTTAATTGTAGTAAGACTAGCACCAGAGTCCGTCAACAAACTAGCTGAGGAACGTCGGAAACAATGTCCAGTATATAGATGGGAATCAGGCAAATTAAGAAATTCGGCAATTTTGGCAGGCATCTTACCAAATGTGTTGATTCCAACTGAAGTCCTGGCACATTTATTTTTAATGCATTTTATAAAAACTCTAGAATAATTAGTATCCACTGGACGAAGGGCTATGTACTTTTTGTAGTAGTTCATATACAATGTACCACTTACAACAAAGGTGCGTTGCACATTAGTTTTTGTATCTGGTATATGGACAACTAGTGAAGTTCCGGAATCCTCGATGTTATTTAATGTCAAATCGCACAGTTCTTCTCGACGACAGGCTCCAAAAACACCAAAAATCGCAGCAACTTTCTGCATTAGATATATTTCATCTGGGGCTTCTGCGAGAAATTTGTCGATTTGTTCTCTTGTCAATACTTTTGACTTTTTCGGTCGATATCCTTCACCCTTTCGCTTCAAAAAAGCCACAAGCTTGTGATATATGCTTATGACATGATCATTTATGTTCATCATCGACTTTAACAAAGAGTAATTCGACCAAAGCGTTGACGATTTCCATATTTTGGAAGTATGCAAAAAGCACTTTTTCACTGGCCTCCTTTCCACTGACATTTTTCTGATCACACCATTTCAAGAAACGTTCCTATGAATCCTCGTACTGTCGCTTTGACTTACTAGGCAATAATTCAAAAACAGCTTTATTGGCAGCTTCTTCAATTTGCGGCGGAAGAAATTCATTTTTTTGGGCACTTTCCATTGAAGAACGAAGAAACGAGAACGAATAATTATTCGTGATTTATTGACGTTAGTTGTCACGACAGATAAATCAAAAAATTATGTTTTCGTTCACCTTGGTAACTTGTTTCATGAATAGATTAGATTGAATTGGATTCAAAACTGATAATCTCGAGGCTGTTATTTAATCAATTAATAAGTAATGTGAAATAGTTATGCGTTAATTTGGACTTCTAATGGTGTTTGTAGAAAAAATAGTGTATGATATATGTGCTAAAAGTGTTTTTTTTTCTTTTCGAAGGGATGGAACACTCCGCCTTCGGCGTCGTGTCCCAAACATTCCTTCTCACAAAATAAAATGTCACTTTAGCACTTATATCATAAATAACTATTATATTTTATCCTAAAATCAACAAAAAGAATGGTTTATTTGTAATTTTTTCATATCTAGTGAGGTGAACAATAGTTCTGTTTCTCGAGTTTCTTGCAAATTTTTTTAACTTTTGACCTTCATTTGACATCTCGTACTTGTATTTTGAGTTCTGTGATTTGTATTTAGATTTGATAACTGAATGGTGTGATTGTTTACCTCACTAAAATATCAAAAAATTCTAAATAAATCATACTTCTTGTGGAATTTAGGAAATGAAGTACAACGTAAGTATATAAAGTGTCCAATGATGGCAAAAGAAGGACAAATAGTTGTGAATGGATATCCAAGATGGGTGGCAAAACATGGTGAAATTTCGCATTTTTTCGTAAAATATTTCAATAGATAGCAGTTTGTTCACATTTCCATTGTAAAATTCGTGTTTTTCATATGGAAATAGGTGAGTACCTAAAAAAGAATTTCGAAATAAAATCCATCGCTAAAGGCGGATTCATGCAACATTCATTCTAATTACATCTTCACTACATCATAATTACATTCTCACTAGCTGAGAGGTACCCGTTCATGCAAGGTATGCTCAGAATGAACTAATTATTCGAGGTTATGTGATCAGGTTTGATTTTCCAAATTTTTACAGGTTATTTAAGAATATGGATTTATTTTTAATATAATATCTGAGGCGAATCACAAATATTTTTGTGGAAAAAATGATCTTTCAATGATCTAATCTTGCAAATCAGTCCTTTTCACTAGAACTATAATGTAATTATAATGAATAGTTAAAAGTTGGTCAATTTTTTAATGTACTGATGTGATGAAAATGTAATGAAAATGTGTTAAGGTGTTGCATGAACGCATTCTATGATTTATAATATAATGAAAATGTAATTATAATGACTGTTGCATGAATCGGCCTTGAAACAGTTAGTTTCTAAAAACAGGAAGACTCACATATTCCGGTTTCAGTTTCTTATCGCTGCCCCTTCCGACGGTTCTCTCCAGTTTCTCCAGGTTCTTCATCAGCGTGTCCTCGTCTTTGAGCCTCAATTCTTCATAGATGATGTCCAGGTCTCTGACAGGGTCGACCTCTCCCTCGACGTGGGTCACATCGTCATCTTCAAAAGCTCCTTCGAGAGAAAAATCATCGTTGAGAATCAGAATTTAGTCGCCAGTCATCGCAAGCATGGTGGACTTATAATATGGTTTTTTCTGTGACGGGAAAGAAGTTTGGCATTTCATCTCTGTTGGCAGGTTATAGAATGTCACTTTTCATAAATTACTTTTTTCTCGTGGAAAAGAAGTGAGTACTTTTTTCCCGGATATATATCAAATATATATACACTGTTGATGGCTTTAGTTGTGCTATAATTCCGAAAAATGAGTCAATAATACCGTCGCCGAGACAGAACTGCAAGTCCTTTTATCTTTCATTCGACTGCGGTTACGTATATTACTAAACAACCACTAAATTGGCAATTTTTTTGAAATCAAATCACAGAATGGGCGTGTAACCTTAGTAGAACTTTTAACTCAAACCATGTTTATAATGATCCTTTTATACATAAATGATGATTGACGACATAATTCGATCGAAAAATTAACTGGAATGTTTTATTTTTGGACATAAATAATAGTACTATCTGAAAACGGACCCTCTTATGACGTAGAAACCTCATCTCGCCATAGTTAAAAGAAAATACCAAAAGCCCGACGGAGACTGAGGCAACTGATATTTTAATTCTTTCAACTGTGATCTCGTGCTAATTCACTCTGTCAGAAATCATGTATCATTCATCTCTGTCTGAAATAGTCCTGTTTCAGTATTAGGGTTTTGACGTCACATCATCGCCTCGTTTTCAGAGGTCCGAAAAATCGGGGATTTCAATAATTTTTTATAAAACGTAGGGAGCACACAGCAAGAAACGGTTTGCGGTGGTGAGCTAGTTTGGGTGAGTTCTATCGAATTATGAAATAATTTGCACTGACAGAAGTGACATCAGATATTTGATTACTTCAAAAGAATGATAGAGATGCCTACAACGCAGGTGTCCCTACTGTTAAACACTTAAAATTTCACGTCGATAATTTTCAGATTTCAAAATAATGTAATATCCTCTCAAAATTGATTCGTCCTTTCTTCTGTCACAGAAAAAAATAGTGCATTATACACGGGAAAAATATTAGATTTTAGCTCACGGTTTTTTGTCTCCCTCCGCTATGCATCGGGAGACAACACAACCTGGAGCTAAAATCTACTACTTTTTTCCCTTGTATAATAAATAACTATTTCTCATTTTTAGAGCGTTTGATTAAAAGCTTTCTTCAAGTTTTTTTTCACTTTCAATATATTTTTAATATGCGAGTGTTGAAAATTATTCCGGTATAAAGATGGATTAGGAAAAACTTACTACAAAGGTGAAAGATCGAGTCACAGGCGCTGATATGGGAAAGAAAGGCGTTTCCAAGCCCTTGTCCCTCTGAAGCTCCTTTGACGAGACCAGCAATGTCAACGATGTTCAGGAAGGCAGGAACTTTGCTGAAAAAATGCGATAGCAACTTAGTTCGCTATTATACTGCAGAGCTTTGTGAACGCCATATTGTTTTGCACCATCAGCATTGCTGATGGTATAGTTTTTAGTTCCTAGTATTGGAACAAATAATTTGTCTTAGGTGAACTACCTTTGGTGAACTTTAATGTCATATTTTAGCTCAGTAAAACAGTAACGATTAGGACCCAATCCTTGAAAATATTCGAGTAGTCGATTTCTCTGTGGTTTTATATGTTATAGTAGGTGCTGAATTCGAATCTGAATATTGCGAACAAAATTTCCTGGAGTGTTCCGAGATATTAACAAAAAACAGCGGAATATTCGCACTTTTTTCGTATTTTTGCCCATAACTCGGAAATCATACATTATATCAAAAAGACCGCACTATAAAAAGTTGAAGTAGATGAACTTTCCTAGATAAAATTTTTCTTGCTCATGAATATAGGACTGAAGGGTGCGGAGAAAGATCCAGTTGAAAATTGACCAAATTTGGTTAGTAGCGTTTCTCGTCGGATTTTGCAGATAATTCATATTTTACGTATTGCTATTGTGCATCATGCACATATTAGAAGAGAAGAGTATCAAGTTTCCTATCGAGCTCATGTAAATTTCTTTATGAAAAAAGATGAATGGCTGTTAAAGCCTCGGACTTGGAGACGTCTTTTAAGAGTAGTTGCCACACTCATGTTCATCCTTTCAACTTAAATGATTTGGATCATATGAACTTATTCTCATTGAAGCTTTGAAACGTATAAATAGGTCATTGTTTGTTTTTGTATTCTGTGTATTTTGTAATGAATAAGTATTAGAATCAATTCTCGCTCACGTGGGTTCCAAGGCGTCAAGGGAATGAAGCAGCTGATCGCATGGTGAAAAAGTGCAGAGCTCACATTTTACCTTTCTGTGAGACGAGCAAATGCCACCTTATCACAGAGCTCAGAAAATGAGAATAAAGTGAAAAATCCTACTATACTGTTGAGCTACTCCAGGTAAACGAGAAGGAAAGAGTTCTTCAACAATTCGTAAGCTAGTGAGTCTCAGCAAACAAGAGCTTAAGCACTACCCTCTGAGCAGTGGCGGCTCCTCAGAGGAGGCAACGGAGGCTGAGCCTCCTCAGAGATTTTCCTTAAACTAATATTATCTATACTTTCTCATTAAAAGGACACCAAAATACATGGATTTTGATTTTATTTCCTGTTTTTATTTAAATATTTTTGAATTGGCAACAGTGCTTGCCCACGCATCACACGTTGAAGTCTGCAAATCACGCGTAAAATAGCCAACCTGGCAACATCTATAGGAGGCTAGACTCATTCACCAAGCGCATCCTACGCGCGCAATGCAAATGCCCGAATAGCACGTGTTTGTCGTGTCGCTTCGCGAATTGCGGACAAACGCGAGTGCATTGTTTATGTTTATGTTAGGTCAATGGTTAGGGGCTGTATAAATTTCTGAAAAATGAGTTTTTCAAACGATTGCGATTTGAAGATAAATTGATTGTTAGAAACAAACGTCCGACACCGAAATTAAAAAATCTGATTGTAACAGGTAACAAACAAAATCGTTCGTTCAATTCTGATAATTATAAAAAATATATCTGGTTGACGGGATCTGAAGTAAGGAATGAGCTATTTTGTTGGTACTGCGTATTATTTTCAACCGATAAGTCATCATGTTGGGGGCGATCAGGATATAATGATTTGAAAAATTTGCCTCGCGGATTGGATAGACACTGCAAATCACAGGAACACATCTCATCAAGTATTAAGTTCAGGTTAACTGGTAAACAGAATGTCATTAAAGCTATTGATTTGGGTGAGTAGAGAGTTGTTTTTCACAATAAATCTCATATCATTCAATAAATTTCATTTCCTTCATGAATAGAATTCGGTCTCATTGATATGATGGTTTACCAAAACAATTGATAAAATGTTTACTCCAGTGAAAATAATGTTTATAAAAGTTATGGAGATACTCATCTTTGTCTAACTCAGTGTTTTTGTTACTAATTTGTCTTTGTCTAAGGTACATTTCAGTGCGGAAGACTTCATAATTAAATTGATCTTATTAATGTATATTATATTATCCGTATTCAGAAAAATTTCAGTTGATGATGGCTGCTCGAAGAAGAAACTTCGGATTTCCAATTTCACAATTCCATTTCGTAGAGGAGGAAAAGTGACATTCATTTTGCAATATCTCTTCAAATGAACTGAGAAATAAATAACAGCGACTCTGCATATTCTCCATTTTCTTCGGATATCTCCGGAAATAATGGGAATTTTTTCAAATTCAAAGCAGCATTTTGTTGAGCATGAAAATGCACAACTTTGCCCAAATTCCATATCATCTTTATCCCTTATGGTAACTGAGATCTCCATGCTCAGTTACGAATTTGTAACACCTTGTATAGTACCATTTACTTTCAAATTTATATGTTTATACCCATTATGAATATCTATACGATTTTGGAATTACAAAAAATTAATCGAGTTTCCAAAATTCCCGCTGTCTGGATTTTGTACAAATTTTCAAGAAGATTTGTCCTGGCTTGCATTTGTTATAGAGATGGCAACCCTACCTAATTATTAAAGAATCGATTCCTATCGATAACATGTTTGAAACAATCTTGCTGCCAGCTCTTTTACTTTTTCATATGGTCATCGCAGTAGGCGCATTTATTCGCTTATCGCCAATAAGTTGCGCCCGATGGCTGTACACAATTTGACGCAATGTGATCGCGTGTCAAAGGCCATCAGAGGCGGCCATGAGCTCTGACGCAATTCACTCTGTACTCTATTGGCCGCCGCAAAAAAGAGTACCTACACGAAGCACGAAGCCTCACGGAGTTTCGTGTCCATTTTTACACACTGTCATCACTCTCTTTGCCAAGAAGTATTTTGCGTTATTTTTTATTCCATTTTACTATATTTTGAAGTGATAGTGGCAGATGAAATTTTCAAGATGGCGACAAGGCGCATAATTCATTCATCAATAATTCATTATCCGCGTTCAATTACTTTCATGCACAGCCAGGCGTGAAATAGCCATTTATAGTCCGGATATTCGGGCATAAAATAACATTTTAGTGCCCTAGAGAGTTAACTGAGTATGGCGGGAGGTAAAGTGCTCCGGCGGTCGATAAAGTAGTGTTGTAGAATTTATCATTTCTCTTGAATGTGAGGCTCAGTATAATAATATGATATGACAAGTGTGACAACCACATCGAAATAATCAAAGACTTTGGACCAGAATATAATTTAGTTCGAGTTTCTACAGTTGATTCTTTAAAAATAAGAAATACCAACCAGGAAAGGAAAAACGTGTTCATGGCGGCCCAACCACGTGGGGCATAGAATTGCATCGTGATATCAACAGGAACTTGAAGAATGTATAGCGATGAGAATTGTGCCAGCAACTCGCATTCAGAGGAATGCACGAACCCACGAAACCCGAAATATCACTCGACTCCAATATTTTCTGAAACAAACCCCTTCTCACCAAGGTACAAAGCAAGAGGAGTATCTGACGTAAATACGAATACGCTAGCTGAGTTATTCCCAAAGAGTGATCAAAATGATGCTGCTACTCAGCGAACGAGCATATCAACTGCGGAAGTTATGAAATCAATGTCAGAAGTATTTCTACAGGCACTGAATAAAGTAACCGATAGTTTTCAACACCAGAATAAGGTCCCAGCTATAACTTGTATCTTCCATGGTTATGAACAAGAAGATCCAACCAGATTTGTGCACCAATGGACTGAATATTTTTCCCGAAATGGTATAAGAGAAGATCAGCATAAAGTCGAATTGGCAATTGACTCTTTACGGGGTGATGCACGGAAATGGATTGAACCATATCGATCCCTCAATCTCAGTTTCGAAAATTTTGCTGATAGATTTTTGAATAAGTACAATTCCAATCATGTGGTAGCCCAAATAACTTCAAAGCTTTATGGGGAAGTACAAACCGAAAAAGAATCTGCAGTGGTGTTTATTACAAGAAAATGTAACCTGTTTCAACGAATATTCCCTTCGATTTCAGAATCAGTTAAAGCATCTATTATTCTGAATCAGCTTCGCCCTGAAATTCGTGTCAGCTTACGATCTCCAAATGATTTCGTTCACACAGAAGAATTGGTACAAGTTGCTACCAGAGTTGAAAAGGATCTAGAGGAATTGAGAAGATGTTCAGCGTTCGTTCCACATTGGTACAGAGGAGACTCCACTACAAACTCATCAACCTCGAACAGAAGAAATAATGATTTTACCAATTCTAACAATAATTCTCAGCCTCCTTCTCCCTGCAGATACTGTAACGCTATGCATTTTCATAACGAATGTCCGAGGAATCCATATAACTCAAATCCGGAAAACTTGACGAGGGCTGCTGGAATCAACGGGTCCAACCAGCAAAGAATAGCTCAATCAGGCCCTTATGCTCCACATTAGATGAGGTATCACACCCTATTCTTGATCCCGAAGCGTCGGACAGTTATGAAATTTTTTTCTTTTTATCCGACTTCACTAAAGTAATTTGTAATTCGAACCTTAAATCTGTTAATAATGTTACTCGTTCTGGTCCACATTTACCTCGACTGACTTTAGTTTCAGCTGGAAAAATGTTACATGCTCTTATCGATTCAGGCTCAGCCGTCAATATAATCAGAACATCTGTTTTGCCTAATCAAATACTTCAAAATTTCAATAGTGTGACTCCACAAAATATTTTGTTCGCTTGCGGATTAACTTCTGTTACTTCATCGGGTATATGTCCGTTAAGATTTGATATCGATGGGATTCCTTTTCAGTCTACTTTTCAGATAATATCGGAGCTTCAAGAAGAGGTTATTCTAGGATCGCCATTTTTGGAAGAAAATGACGTGATATTAGATTATCCTCGTAGATGCGCATACGTTGGTAACTCTCAACGGAGAACTTTTTATTGGCAGAATAGTATTCATTTACATGAAAATTTACCATTA